AAGAATAAAATAATAAATTAAAAACAATGAATAGTTAATATGTTCAATATGTTCAAGGTTCTGTATTGTCATTCACATCACATGTGGTGCATGAGGTGGAATGAAATTGTATACACAAGGTTCCAGTTACATCCAAAAATAGCAAAAATATAAAGTATAATAAGAAACAGTGTACAAGGATGTAAGATATACACTAAACACTAATAATATCCATCCATCCATTATCTTTACCCGCTTATTCCATTTTGGGTCACGGGGGTCGCCGGTGCCCATGTCCAGCAATCACTGTGCGAGGGGCGTGGTACACCCTGGACGGGTCGCAAGTCCATCACAGGGCCACTAATAATATAATACATTGTATTAAACAGCAGCCTGAGCATGAGTCTGATGTGAGCAGATGGGTATGAATACAGCAGCTTATGGGCTTATGGGTGCCTGAGGGGAGCGGGGCAAAAAGTGTGTGTGCTGGGTGAGTGGTGTCCTTCATGATGCAGGTGGCTCTCTTCCTACACCTGGAGGTGTAAATGTCTGTGATGGTGGTCTGTGCAGCCTCCATGCCACATGTTGATGCTGGAGCACAGGATGCTCTCCACTGAACACCTGTAGAAGGAGGTGAGGACTGAGCTTCCCAGTCCAGCTCGTCTCAGCCGCCTGAGGAAGTAGAGTCTCTGATGAGCTTTCTTGATCAGGCTGGTGGTGTTGTTGCCCCAGCTGAGGTTGTCGAGCAAGTGCACACCCAAGTACTTGTAGCTGGAGACCACTTCCACCGCAGATGCTCCTATGTTCTTTGGTTGAATGAAAGTTTGCTCCTTCTGAAATCCACAATCATCTTGTTTGTCTCCTTCATGTTGATGTGGAGGTTGTTCTTTCTGCACCAGCTCTCCAGGTGTTCCACCCCCTGCCTGTAGCTGGACATCTATACATTCAAAGTATGTGAACCTCTGCAGTCATGAATATGTGCATATATAGATGACAAGGTAAGCAAGCCAGTGTGTTAATGGAGTCTCGGAGAATGGCATGTAACTTAGATAGCATCCTCCTGTCTGACACCACAGTCATCGAGTCCAGCTCTACCCCCACAATGTCTCTGGTCTTGCAGATAGTTTGTTGAGTCTGTTGGCATCCTTACCCTCAGTCTGCTGCCTCAGCTCTCAACAGCAAAAAGGAGGGCACTGGCCACCACAGTCTCACAGTCTCATAAAACATCTTCAGCATAGTTTAACAGATATTAAACGACCTTAACTTCAATATATAGAAGTAGTGCATCTCTGGCCCTTCTTGTACAGAGCATTGCTATTCTTAGCCCATCCCAATTTATGGTCAATGAACAATCCTAGATATTTATAAGACTCCAGAATGTCCACAGTAACCCCCTGGATGGAAACAGGGACCACCAGTGTCCTGACCCTCTTTAGACCCACAACCTTTGTCTTTGTCACATTGAGCTGTAGGTGGTTCTGCCTCTACCATGTGACAAAGTTACCGATCACAGCCCTGGATTCAGCACCATCACTACTGCTGACACATCCAACTATCACAGAATGGTCAGAAAACTTCTGGAGATGGCAGAACTCTGTCTGTTAGTTAAAGTCTGTGGTGGAGATGAAAGGAGAGAGGACTGTCCCCTATGTGTCCCCAGTATTGCCGTCCACTCTGTCTTTTTGTCCCCTCGCCTGCTGCAGTTCCCTCATCGGACTCATTGCCGTTTGCGTTTCTTATCCCTGGTTCGCCGTCTGCGGCTCTGATCACTGGTTCAGTTTCTGTCACCGCATCCATCAGGATTGTTTCCCGGTCTGGTTTGCATGCCACTGCAGTCTCCTCTTTAATCTCAATATCCCTCTTTTGATTCTGAGGGGCTCCAGGTGGACATCCCTGGCCAGAGATGGACTGTCACTGTGCAGTCCACCAGAACTATTGCTCCACTCTAGAAGGTCTCCTGGACATCCACCTGAACTCTCGCCTCATCTTGGATGGTGCCCGGGCCATTCCGCATGAACTTTTGATGTTTCTTGTGTGGTTTGTTTCCAAGGTTATATATCCTGTCAGGTTTTTGTTTTGAATTTTGTGTTTTTCCTTTTTCCCCTCCACCCACCCAGTTTGTTTCATGTGTTTGCCCTTTGGGACATCAGGAGCCACCTTGGGGTGGGGTACTGAGAGGTTCTGTGTTTTTCTTGTGTCATCTGTCCAGTCTTCCTCAGTGTTGCCAGCTCCTGTC